GACCTAGTGGACATTTGTAAAATACTTCATTCAACAATAGCAGACCCCACATTCTTCTCAAGTTCACAGGGAACATTTGCCATGACAGATCACATTCTGGGCCATAAAATACACCTTAGTGCATTCTCAAAAAATAGAAGTCATACCAAGTATTCTTTCAGACCACAGTAGAATTAAACTAGAAATAAATAAATAACAAAATTAACTGGAGAATCCCAAAATATTTGGAGAGTGAACAAAACACTACTAAATAACACATAAATCAAAGAAGTCTCAAGATATATAAAAATATTTTAAGCTAAACAAAAATTTAAATATAACTTATCAAATCTTGTGGAATGCAGGAAAAGCAGTGCTTAGAGGGAAATTTATAGTATTGACTACATAGATTAGAAAAGAAGAAAGATCCAAAATTAATAATCTTCAACTTTAGGAAACTAAAAAAAAAAAAGAAGAAGAATGAATAAACATTAGAGCAGAAATTAATGAAATTGAAAACAGGAAATCAGAGAAAATTTTAAAAATCATAAGCTAGTTCTTTGAAAAAAATCAGTAAAATCAATGAAGCTCTAGCCAGGCTAAACAAGGGAAAAAGAAAAGAGACACAAATTCCAAACATCAGAAATAAAAGAGTGGCATCACGACTGGTAGCATGGCTAATAAAAAGATTAAAAGGAATATTATGAACAGCCCTACACCCATAAACTTGATAAGATTGACCAGTTTTTTGAAAAGCACTCTACCAAAATTCAAACAAGGAGCAAGGTAATCTGGGTGAGTCAACATCAATTAAAGAAATGGAATCAATAATTAATAATCTTCCAAAATGGAAAGCACAAGTCCCAAATGTTTTCACTGATGAATTCTACCAAACATTTCAGGAAAAAAAAAAAAAATCAATTCTCTACAATCTCTTCCAGATAATGGAAGCAGAAGGAACACTTTCTAATTCATTCTATTAGGCCAGCATTACACTAAAACCAAAACCAGAAAAAGATATTACCAGAAAGGCAATATCACAGACCAGTATTTCTCATGAACATAGAAGCAACAATTCTGAATGAATTATTAGCAAATCAAATTCAATGTATAAAAAGAATTATACACCACGACCAAGTGGGATTTATCCTAGGTATGCAAGGCTGATCCAACATTTCAAAATCAACTAATATAACACATAATATTTACAGGCTAAAGAAGAAAACTCACATTATTATATCAATAGGTGCAGAAAAAGCATTTGACAAAATTCAGTACCCACTCATGTATTGCAGCAAACTAAGAATGGGGGGAATTTCCTCAGCTTCATAAAGAACATTTCCAAAAAGCCCTATAGCTACCGTCATACTTAATGGTGAAAAAGTAGATGATTTCACCCTAAGATTGGAAAAAAGGCAAGGAATCCCTCATCACTGTTCCTTTTCAACATTGTGCTGGAAATCCTGGCTAATACGGTAAGAGTAGAAATGGGAATAAAGGCATACAAATTGGGAAGGAAGAGATAAGAACTGGTTCATGAGTGATATGATTGCCTATGTAGAAAATCCCGAAGAACCAACAATGACAAAAAAAACTTCTGGATGTTAGAGGCGATGATAGTATGGTTGCAGGATTCAAAAATTAATCACTTCCCTATATGCCGGCAATGAACAATTGGAGTTTGAAATTTAAAACTCAACACTATTTACATTTATCCCCCCACCCACCAAATTACATAGATATAAATCTAACAAGATATGTACAAGATCTAGATGAGGAAAACTACAAAGCTGCAATGAAAGAAATCAAAGAAGATTTGAGTCAATGGAGAGATGCTCCATGTTCATGGATGGGAAAACTCCATGTTTTTAACATGTCAGATCTTCCCAACTTGACCTATAGACTCAATACAATCTAATCAAATTCCCAGCAAGTTACTTTGTAGATATCAACAAACTGATTCTACATTTAAATGGAAAGGCAAAAGACCCAGACTAGCCTCACAATATTGAAGAACCAAGTTAGAGAACTGATACTTGCCAACTTTAAGACTTACTGTAAAACTGCAGTAATCAAGGCAGTGTGGTATTGCTGAAAGAATTGACAAATAGATCAATGAAAGATCGTAGAGTGCCTGGGAGTAGATCCACCCAGTAAATTCACCCAGATAGTCAACCCATCTTTGACAGAGGAACAAAGGCAATTCAGGGCAGACCGAAAAGCACTATTTCTTTTCAACAAAGAGTGCTAGAAAAACTGGACATACAAAAATCCCCAGCAACAGTGACTCCAGACAGTGAGCATACACCATTCAAGAAAATTAACTCTGAAAGCTTTGTCTCTTGGGGTAAAAAAAGAAAAAAGAGGAAAAAAAGAAAAAGAAGAAAATTAACTCGAGATGAGTCATAGACCTAAATGTAAAATGCATAATAATGAAACTCATAGAAATGTAGCAGAAAGTCTAGGTGACCTTGGGTTTGGCAGCAGGGTTTTGGATATAACACCAAAAACACTGTTCATGAAAGAAAAATTGGTAAGTTGGACTTCACGAAGATTAAAAACTTATGCTTTACAAACTACAGTTAAGAGAATGACAATACGAGCCACTGCCTGGGAGAAGAGATTTGCAGAACACATCTCTGATAAAAACCTGGTGTCAGACAACACATGGAAAATAATGGTGTTTGGATGGGTAGGGCGGGATGAGTTAGGGACGACCTGGAAAGTTAGTTTCTTTTCTAAAATTCCAGAGACTCTCGTGGAGCACGCCTGGCCCTTTTATTACAGTCAGCCTGAGAAGGAAACTGAAAATGTGGCCATAGTTGTCATGAACGAGGGGAACCACTTTTTATCCTCATTCAGGAGCTTTATTATGAAAGGTGAAATCACTTTGTAAATGCGAATTAGAATAGAAAATGGAAATTCCTTATATAATCTCTAAGCCATTGGAAACTTGAGGCAAAGAAGTTTTAAAACAAAAGACACACATGGATTTCCTCTGAAATATTTGTAAACACCAAATTCAGAACATGATGGATGGTTTACGACCGTACCAGGCTTTAGCTGTTACGTTGAATTGTAAATAACTTATGTCCATGAGCCTGGAATTAAAGAATTTGACAACTACTTCTGGCTTCCCAGAGCCAGAACCCACCTCGAAATGGGATTTTGAAATGCGCACCATTGAAGATACACACAGATGGCAGAGGCCACTGCACAGGCTGTGAGAGCTTGTTTAGGTTTCGGTAGACTGTCTTCATTACCGCGTAAAACATGTCAGATGAAATTTTAGAAACGATTTCCAAACTCAGCGAAGGTTCATGACATCCGGGATGTTGTTGTTTTCAACACAGAGGTTGAGTGAAACTGCTAGAGAAGGAAAATGAGAAGTGTGGAGAGAAGAGGCTGTGGTGGCTGGGCACCCCCCCTCCTTCCTCCCC